TGTCTAACTATTTCCTTTGGGTTCTTAACCTTAAACTGCCAAATGAGATCTACCTCACTCCCCAGCGCTCCGAAATATTTTAAAAAATTAAAAAAAAATTTTTTTTTTCTTTTTTAAATGAAGAGCACATTTTTGGGAAATGTATGGAATAAAAAAATTTAGGGCCATAGTAGGTTTGGAAACGCAACCACCCGGGGAAGACTCCGTCCGCCGATGACTGTGAAAAAAAAACCGTAATGTTTTGCATGAGGGTAGGTTTGCTGGTTTCTTTTTCTGTTCAAAAAACCCAAAGATAACGGGATATCTTGTACTCCTACTTACATTTTTGGTCACACTTCCAGACACGCAATTTTAAAAATTATTTTAATACACCCTAGGTTTTTCTCCCTTTTAAAAAAGTCTTGTTTTTTTTTTATTTCTTTATTGCCCAGGGGAAGGGGGAAAAAAATCTTTCCCCCGAAACCTTTGGTGTGTATGGGGGATAAAATGCCGGGGAAATTTGGCTATAACCCCCTTCTCCTGTATCAATTACTAAAAAAAGAGAGAAGAAAATTTTATAAAACGGGGTTGTTTAAAATGTGCGGGTGTAGTGCGGAGAAAGAAAACAGTGTTTGTGATGTATGAATGAAAAGAATTTGGATGTCCCGGGCCCAAAGCGAAACAAAGCAAAGGGGGTGGGATTTTCGTGGGGGAAACAAATGGGAAAAATCTGGAGTATCTAGGAGTTAGAGAAAAGGAAGGGGGTGCAGTAATGTTAAAGTTTTTGGGAAAGGAGAAAAGAAAATATGAAGTGTAAATTCAAGAATTTGTGTTTAAAGAAAAGGTTGGATCGAGAAGGGGGTTAATAACGTGATGACCTGGGAAAAGGGAAAGCGAGGAGAGAGAGAGATTTTGGGAATGTTAGGAATGTATAGGGCCTTTTAACAAATGAGGGTAATTGGGTAGGGGATTTAATGCTAAAATGGAGAAATTTTAGAGAGGGGGGTGGTAAGTTGGGGGCCGGGGTAAATGATAAGGGGGCCCTTGATTGAACTTTGTATAGAAAGGGGGTTTTGTTTTTAGGTAATACATATTTTAAGAAAAAAGGATAAATAAGTTACACGATATGAGTAGGCGAAATGACAGTAGTTTTTTGGTTATGATTGGGGAGATAAAAGGGCTGTTGAGTAGACTTCGGTGTACGTTTTAGAGGGGCCACAGATATATCAGATCACTTTCTAGTTGTAGCTACACTGAGAAAAAAAGGGTAAAAGGGATACAAGGAAAAATTAGAAGCTTCAGGGAAGGGGAAAAGGTGAAGGTTTAAAAACAAAAGGGGAAAGGGCAGTTAGGGAGGGATATAAACCTTTTTGGGGAGGAAAGATGGGCTAATGAGAGCATAGGAAAAATGGGGTCAAAGAGGAAAGGGGTAGGTTTAAAAAGGGTAGTTTTTAAGAGTGTTAAAGCAAAGTTTGTGGTTACGGGAAAAGTGGGTGCAGGGGGGAAAAGAGGAGCAAATTGGGGGAATAAAATGATGAAAAAGGAGAGTAAGGGAGAAAAAGTTAGCATATGAGAAGTTTTTACCAAAGTAAAGTGATCAAGGGGGGAAGAGAAATATGGAGAAAAAGGGGAGAATTTTAAGAGAGGGGGTAAAAGCAATGTAAAAAGAAAAGCAAATGAGAAAAAGTGGGTGAGATGTTATCAAAAAAATTTTTTGTTAAAAATAAAAAAAAATTTTGGAGAAAAATTAACAAAAAGAAAGCCTAGGAGAAAAAAAGGTTTTTGTCATTTAAAAAAATAGGAGAGGAGAGTTTTTTTAAAAATGGAGATTAGAGGTTTTGGGGAAGATGGAAGGAATATTTTGAGGAATTGTTTAAAGGGTGATGAAGTGGGGAAGCTGTGTTTTCCCGTGTATAGGGCAAGGGGGAAAATAACCTTGTAGGGTGGGGGGAACCCCATTTGTGTTTTGGGGGGGAAGTTCGTGAGGCAGTAGGTAAAATGAAAGGGGGTAAGGCACCCGGGGTTTGATGGGATAAAGATAGAAAGGGAAAAAGGGCGGGTTTGGGGTATATTTTTGGGAGGGGTTTGGGGTGAAATTATTTAATAAATGTATGGAAGGGGGTAAGGTACCTGGGGGATTGGCAGAGAGATGCATATTTCCCCTTTGTAAAAAGGGAAAAGGGGGGATAAAAGAAGTGCAAAAATTTTGGGGGGATAATCTTTTTGAGTGTACCTGGTAAATGTAGGGTAGATTTAAATTAAAAGGGGAAAAGGGGTTAAACGGAGAATAGGTAGCAGTTTAACAAGGAGGTTTTTTAGGAAAGGTGGGGGGTTTTTTTGGCCCGGGTTTTACAGTGAAAACATATAAGTAACGGGTATTTAGAAAAGGGCTAAAGAGGTTTTTGGTGGCATTTATGGATTTGGAAAAGGCGTATGCGGGGTGGATAGGGGGGAAAAGGGGGCAGATGTTGCAAGTGTATGGTGTAGGGGGTGGGTTACTGAAAGCAGTGAAGATTTTTTTTACAGGATATTGGGGGCTCAATTGAGTTTTGTAGGAAAGGGGGAAATTTTTTCCCAGAAAAATTTGGCCTTAGAAAAAGGAGTGTGATGTCACCGTGGTTGTTTTAAATATTTTTATAGATGGGGTTGTAAGAGAAGTAAATGCGAGGGTTTTGGGAAAGGGAGGCGGGGGAGTTAAAAAAGATAAAAACCACCACAAAGTGGGAGTTGTCCCCAGCTGCTCTTTGCTGATGACCCCCCCGTGCCCCTTTTGGGAAAATTTTTGAAGAGAAGTTGGGAGAATTGGTGGAAAGAAATTTGGGAAAGGGGGTGCAAAAAAAAGAAAAATTTAAAGGGGAATACAGGAAAGATAAGGTTAGGGATAACAAAGGGTTTTTGGTTGGGTGAAAGATTGAATATCAGATTGGAGGGAAAAGAAATATGGGGGAGGTGAACGTATTCCCCCAAATTTGGGAGTGGGAAAGTGTCAGCGGATTGGGGCTAAAGAAAAATGGGTGAATCATAGAAAATTTATGAGGGAAAAAAAAAAATGAGGGGGTGCACAGGGAGTCTGTGGAGACAAAAGAATTTGGCCTTGGGGTTCCGGAGGGGAAAGTATGAGATTTAGTTTTACCAACGCTTTATATGGGGGTGAAGCGTGGGTATGAATGTTTGGGAGGGGAGGGGAAGGCTGGAGGCAGGGGGAGATTAAAGTCTAGGGGCTTGTGTGGTGTGAATATAAAGCAAGAATTTATTTGGAAGAAGGGGGCCCCGGGGTGGGGTTAACCCAAAAAATGTTGTCCAAAAGGGGGTGGGGGAAGGGTTTTTGAGGTGGTTCGGGGGCTGTTTGAGAGAATTTGGGGCGAAAAAGAAAAGACTTCAAGAGGGGGTATCAGTCTGTAGTGGAAGGAAGGGGGGGTTAGGGGTCGGCTTGGAAGGGTTTTGGGGGGAGGGGGTATAGGGGGTTTTGTGTGCGGGGGGGGGTTGGACTTCCCCAGGCAGCGTGAGCGTGTTTTTTAGGAGTGGGGGTGGGACAAATGGGGTTTTTTTACTTGAAAAAAATGCTGTTGGAGTGTGGGGCAAAAACTTTTTTTGGGAAAGGGGTTCAGGGGAAAAAGGCAGGCCGGATTGGGGTCCCGGAGATGGGAAGTTAAAATGCCGCACTCTGAAGAAAGGGGGGTTAATGTTGCAGTTTAAAAACTGTAGGTTTTAAAGGGCCCCCTTCTGGCAAGGGCAGTGATGGAGTGAATGATGGTGAAAGTTTTTCTTTTTCGGGCCCCCCTTGGGCCCTTTTTTTGGGGAATCCGGGGGCCCGGGTGATAATAAAAAAAAAAAATAAAAAAATTTTACCCAGATATTTAAACCTGCAAGTTGGTTTCTAAATGATGAGGTTTTCCGCAACATGGAGCCCGCCGCTTGAAGGGAAAAAAAAACATTTTTTTTTTTTTTTTTTTTTTTTTTTTTTTTTTTTTTGTTTTTTTTTTTTTTTTTTTTTTTAAAATTTTTTTTTTTATTAAAAATTTTTTTTTTTTTTTTTAAAAAAATTTTAAAAAATTTTAAAAAAAACCAATTTTTTTAAAAAATTAAATTTTTTTTTAATGATTGGGTTTAAATTTTTTGGTTCAATCACAGAATTTTTGTTTAAAAAAATATTTTTCAGGTTGGACCCCCTTAAAGATAAAAATTTTTTCATTTTTCCAGATTTTTGTTTTCAGGGGGCTTTACGAATTAAATTTTTCCCAAAAAGGGAATATTTTGAATTTTAAAAAGGTTTTAATTTAAAAAATTTTTAGACCCCCCAAAAATACATGTACAAAAAGAAATTACATAAATACCCCTTAATAAAAAGGTCGATTGGGAGGGGGTTTGTAAAGGGGGGTCCAAAAATTTTTAAAACAAGGGATTTACAGGTCCCATTTTTTGTTTCTAAAAAAGTCCCCACTGTATGGGTTTTTTTCCCTGAAGCATGGATTTACAGAGTGCCACCCCACATTGCTGACAATGTTTCGTGTGTCCTTTTTTTCACTTTTGGGGGTTTCCCGTGAAATTTTAAGCCACACAAAAAAACTTTTTTTTAGAGTACTTCTTCTTTGGAGTAGATGGTGATGGTATCAGGCAGTGACAGTTTGGGATTATTCGGTCAGGCACTTCCCCCTCTTCTTGTGGAGTGATAGGTTGCTGTTGTGGGGTGGCAGGTCACTGTGGAGTGACAGGTATAGGTGTGGTACCATACTTTTCCACTATCTGCTTGATAATATTAAGGGTGAATTCCGCATATCGTTGTCGCTGCCCTGTCTTTATTTCATATAAGTTAAAGGCATCCTTCTGGCAAGACAGTGATGGAGAGAATGATGGTGAAAGTTTTTCTTTTTCGGTCCACCCTGCCTTGGTGGGAATTGGCCAGTGTGTTAATAAAAAAAATAAAGGCATTGAGCATTGCAATGTCTACAAAGTGGAAAAACACTTTTATATACCACTTGCAACTCCTTCGCACACAGTCAACAAACCCTATCATCATGTCACACTTGTCGACTAGTCGCATATTGTCTGTACAGTCAATGACAGCAGCTGGCTTTACAACAGATTCATTGTTGTACCTGCTCAGTCTGTTTGTACCATCTCGTTTCTGTGGATGGTTGGCAGCAATGTCACATCCCGTTTGTCATGCCACATCAGTGCCATGATGTCATTATCACGAAACGCTTGCACTACACTTCCTCCAGTGAACCTAGGCATGTGTTTTCTACTTTTGCTCACTGTTCCACATGTATCAGTATTGTTCACATGCAGGAAATCAGAGAGCATAGGGCTTGTATACCAGTTGTCTGTGAACAATGTATGGCCCTCGCCAAGGTATGGCTGCATCATCTTGCATTCATCACCAGTAATGCCCAACATCTGTCTGTCATCATTGAGTGTGTTTTTCCCTGTGTAGATAATGACATCCAACACAAGACCAGTCTCATAGTCACACAGTACAAAGAGTTTTATACTAAAACGATTATGTTGGCTTGGTATATATTGTTCGAATGACAGTCGTCCCTTGAACAGAACCAAGGACTCATCAACAACAATATTCTTGAATGGATAAAAGTAGGCACTGAATTTTTGCTTACGATACACAAACAATTCCCTGATTTTGTATAGGTCATTTTGGTTTAGAGTATTCCTGTCTGAGATGTGCAACATTCGTAGCAACAGAGTGAATCTATTGCAGGGGACGTCACGGAAGACTGGAGTACTGATGAAGTGGAATGTGGAAAAGTAGTGTTCTATATTGTTCTTATAGGTGTGTGGCAATTGGAGGCAGCAAATGGTTGAGAGGGTGCCGGGCGGTCCTTTGTCTGCCCACCCACTGCGCCATGAGGTCCAGGTACCATGCCACTAGCCTCATCTTCCTCCATCCCAGCATATTCACCTTCATGATCACTGTCACTTTCACTAGCTGGGGTTTTGGATCGTGACCTGCCACGACCCTTGCCACCAACTACATATGGCACACTGCCTGAACATAGGTTACGATGCCTAAAAGTATGTTTCACTGGGGAATAATGATAATTACTGTCGCTTCACGAATCCTCTATGGGCATTAAATCGATTTCATCATCGTCACTTATATCAGTTTCACTATCGTCATCACCATAACGCAAGGAAAATGATAATTTCCATTTGTGGAGTTGCCTTTGGGTAGAAACACTATCAACCCCAGAGGTACTTGGCTGAGGGTCTGGTATGGCCACACTGTCCACACTGGCCACCCCAGAGGTGATGGGCTGAGGGTCATCTGGGTTATCATCAACAGTTTCACTAATTCCTTGAACATTAGTGGCAATATCGATGTCAAATTCACTAACCTCACATTCTGTTACACTTTCCGAAAATAGCAGAGTGTTAATATGCCGAGGCGTGAGTGAATCACAGTAGTGTGCCATGATGTTAACCCAAGATGGAGCCGAAACTAAGTGGTGCTACCATGGGGTACCCCAGTGTCAGCAAATTTTTTCACTCTGTGCAAACTTAGGGCACAGACCCATTCTCTCTTGTCTAGGAGACTCAGGCCTATTGCGCCAACTTTGAAGGAACAAAAAATAAAACGTTGATCTATGTTCAGAGCGCTATGCATGCAAAAGTAGGTCTACGTTTGGACAGTTTAAGGGTTAATCTTGTCCCCCTGGATGCAACCAACACCAGTCAACTAACACCAAGGTAAACAGGAAAAAATGCCTTGAACTAGTGCTCATATTGGTGAATTTAAGGCCAGCAAAGGTTGGTTTGAGAGATTTGAGACTCATAGTGGCATACACAGTGTGATAAGGCATGGCAAAGCTGAAAAATTACAACCCCAACAAGTGTTCAGTTGTGAGAAAACAGACCTGTTTTGGAGGAAAATGCCAAACAAGACCTACCTTACTCAGAAGGAAAAGGCACTCCCAGGACACAAGCCCATGAAAGACAGGTTAACTTTCTTGTTTTGTTGTTATGCTAGTGGGGATTGTGAAGTGAATCCTTTACTCATGTATCACTCTGAAAATCCCAGAGTGTTCAAGAAAAACTGTCTCATCACTCAGCAATACTCTTCAATAAAGGTAAGTGTCATTTTAGTATTTATTTATGTATTTTGCATATCTAATTGTTTTCTCTGTAGGGAAATGTATATTTCATGTAAGATAAAATAAGAATTCATTCGGATTTTTAACCCCAGAGGGTTTTGCCCACCCAGGATAACCCCAAGAAAGTTAGTGTCATTCAATTCTATTTAATTCAATTTCAATTCAAAGTTTTTCTCTATTAGGATTTACAATTCTGGGGGTTTACAGAAATTTGGTTATTGTTTGGTTTACATGTAGTAAAATTGTGATTACAGAGTGTACCACTAGAACGCTTAGCATGGCTAGGCATTTCGGGATACTATTTTATTCTTAATTGTTTAAAATATAAAATTATGAGGTAAGTTGCTTAGGCTAAGTGACTAAATATTAGTTTTGAGTTACAATGTAATGCTTTTGTTTTGGCACAGTATATAGTTTCAGTATTTGGGGTATCCAGGATTCATTATTTAAGACTGAGATAATATTTCGGTTTTTGTCAAATGAATGAGCGAGTGTAAGTGTGAACCACTAGGTGGTATTCGTTGTAGTTAGTTGACGGGGTGTATCAGGGAGGGTAAGATGTTTTCTAATGGTGTTTTTGAAGGTGATGAATGTTTTCTCAGTTCTAGAGTTTAGGTAGGGTATTCCAAATTTTTGGCCTTGCTACATTGAATTTTTTTAAAAGGTTTGTCGGGCAGGGGAATGTCGTAGAGAGTTTTGCTGGTGTTTGCCTGGGGTTCTGTCACAACTATCAAGAAAACG